ATTTTTATAACTTATAACATTTTACAGCCATTATAGCTGGATTACCACCCTGGTGTCGTTTATTTACATAATTGATTATAATTTATTATTTTTAAGTCATCTGTACGCGACGAAATGTCGCATTACAATATATATAAAATTTTAAATAAATTAAATTTTTTGAATTATTCTAAACCAGAAAGTCACTTTAAATAAATTAAAAATGATAATTTCACAGTATCTTTAATATTTACAATTTTTAAAGTTAATATTTTAAAATAAAGAACATTGAAGAAAATCTTATAAAAATGAAATTTAATATATGCTTCAAGGTACAATATCATAAATAAATACAATATGAAATACATATATGCACAGAAATAAAATATTAAAAAAAAAATTTTAATACAAATGTTAAAAGTTCTTGAGATTTGTTCGAATATGCAGGTATAGAAGAGGATGAAACGTGAATCAAGAGATAGGAAATACCCTGAGGCGAACCTTCTTTACCTTCATGCACCTATCTCTTGGCGTAACACACAATAATAAATGACTGACGTCTGTCAGACTGCATATTTATGCATAAAATAACTCTATCATAATCCAATTAGCTGACATATTATGTTCTTCATTGCATTTAATTTGCGAATATTAAATGTTAATTGAGTGCTGATTTCAACAAATGTTAAAAATTTTTAATTAATATTTTATTTCTGAAAATTATTCTATGTATTATTGTCTTAGAAGTAAGGGTTACTTTTTGAAACTAATAAAAATTTTATTTAATTAACTGGCTCATGTGAACTCATATTTTTTTATTATTTATTTATTATTTAAATTACAATTGATTAAAACATGATAATAAGATTCGGTATCCTTTTCGCAATATTAATTTAAGTAATGGTCGATAATTTGTTATCGGCAGTCGGTAATAGTTCGCTGAAGCGAACACGTAGCGCTGTTCAAAAAACAAGAGACATTTATTGTTTTTGAAAGGTAATTCATCTTTTTGTCACTTTACCTGAGACTTTAAACTGCCAATATTGTTTTTTATTTCCACTTATAATTCGTTTTCGATTCTATTCTAGTTCTAGCGTTACGACTCATAATTTTTTTCTTCCTTACAATTTTTTTAGTATTATAATTTTTAAAATTGGGAAAAACAATTTATATTTAAAAAATTTTTATTAATTCTCATTAAATAAACTAAAAATTATATTTTCTAATAATTATTATCTTTTTATCCGCGAGATATTGAGACATTTTCAACAATAACGATTATTATAAATACTTTTATCACAGTATATTGATGAAAGTATACTTCATATAGTCATTAGATTAGACGATCACTCCCTTTCGCTTCAAAACCACTTTATTAACCTATTCGAATTGCAAATTGGTTGTCAGGACTTTCAGCTCTTGCGTTAGTTACAGTCTTACTTACATTTATTTTTTTAAATTGAAAATTTAATACTACAATATTTTTGTATTATAAATTAATATTAATAATAAAATGAATAATTGAAAATTTTATCTCTTTAACGACAAAGAGTGTAAAAAAAACTGGATTTGCAATTAGCAAATGTAATTTAAATAAAAATTGTAATAAAAATTGTTGCATGCCGATTTTACAATTGCTATTTTCTGAAAAGTCAAAGTTCAAGCTTGTATTAAAAATGTTAAAATACAATTTTTAATTAAAAGAGGAAAGAACTAATAAAAATGTTTTAAAAAAACAAATAAACGTTTTTGTGAAAGTTGCGGACAAATTTTCATAAGATCGTTAAATAAATACTAGTTTTTATTAATAAAACATAAACAGTTTTTTAGCGTATAGAAATCTAAATTACTTTTTACTTTACTATGTTATGTTTTTACTTTATTATTATTTATTATTATGTTTACCCGTAGACTTAAATTGAAAATAATAATTTTGCCTTTGTAAATTTTATTTTATTCTGTTAAATAGTTTTTATTTGTTACTCTCTTTGTTTGAAAAATTCTCTTCGACTGAAAATGTAGAAGAGGGAAATTGTTTAACTGGCCTACCATTCTCTCTCTCTCTCTCTCTCACGATGTCCTTTTAAAAACCCAAGACCAGCTCAACATCAATGGAAAGTTTTAATTTCCGGAATTTAAATGCATAAAATATCTTTGGAATTCAAGTGACACGTTGAAAAGAATAAATTCTGCACTGTGCTGAGAATATTTTACAAGGGAGCGCCAAGGACTTTTAGATTCCGTAATTTCATTATTTATGAAAAAGCCGCTAGTGGTGCGCGCACGTGTTCCATCAACATTTTCGTGAGGTGTGCAATGTACCAGAGAATTTTATCGCACATTTCAACCGGTCAAAGGTCGAAAAGTATTTCACTGATCGTACATATATATATATATATATATATATATATATATATATATATATATATATATATATATATCTGTGTATCGAATACGAGACTATTTTCTATTATTGATGACATTTGTCTATTTGATGTCAAATACTATTCAAATAATATTTTTTTTTTTATAGATCAAAGTAAAAGTTATTTAAGTATAAAATTCTTCTTTTATTTCCTTTGTATTTTTGAACTCACGTATTTCAATTTTTATTTTAAAGATAAAATAGTAACGTGAGAAAAAATTGTTGCCCTTTTTTTTAAATATTCAGTGAAAATTGTTTTAAATATTTTATTGACGTTTTATTTTCATTTTCGAATTTTATATTTTCATTTTTAATTCATATATTCGTGAAATACTCATTTTTATCGTTTTACTTATTAAAAGAACTTCAGCAATGATTTCCTCCGTTGGAATTTAAGCTCTCTTTTGAATCTTCAATTTTTTTGAAATATGAAAAAACTCATACGAACTTCTTCAATTTCAAGATTATTTATTCAAAAAATATAGTAATTCACAATTTATAGAAGAAAAATTATTAAATTTTACCAACTTTATTTCTTTTTTTTTTTTAATAATACAGTAACGATGACATTGAGAAAAAAATTGATAAATTGATTGGAAGAAAACTGATTAATTTAGAATATAAGCGGGATATTTGGTATCTAATGAGAACATCAGAGTAAAGAAATAAATCTTTCTCCATCTTCTTTTTCCTCTGGGCAGAAAAGTAACGTACGGTATTTCCCATGGGGCATTGGATGCTTTTATAGAGGCTCAGTCATTGCTGAGTATGACAATATGGCTTTAATATGATACCCCCTTATATCCCCGTTTAAGACCTTAATAATAGAGAGAGCATTATTGTCCTATTCACGAGAGATTTAACATAATATTTGCCATTGAAGACCTACCTTACCCTATTCTGTTGCACCTTCCTTCAGAAATTGCTCTTAGCTTTAGTTCACGTAAGAGACTTTGTTGCTTTTGTTACCTTTGGCAAATGCTACTTGAAACATATATAGTCTTCGAAATATTCTAGTTTAAGTGAACTTAAATCTAATACACATCATCTTGCAAATGAAACATCAATTTTTATATTTTCATCATATCAAAATAGTTACAATTTATTTTTGATAAATTAACTAACATTGATAAAGATTTATAAAAAAAAAAAAAGTTTTAAACTTTTTAACCATATGTTGAAATGGTAAAAAATTCTTATATGTTCTTAATCAATATTAAAATGTCCTTGATAGGAAAAAAAAAGTCGTTTATTGTAACTCAAGTATACAATTACAAAAAATGGTTTTTCCACTAGAAACTTTCTTGATCTTGGATGAAATTGGGTCTAGATTATGGCTAAACTTTTCGGGGACATTTTTTCTCGTCATTTTCTCAATATTACATAAGTTCTAGAGCACGTGTCTTAAATTGATAGCTTTAGATTATTTTTCTTCTTAATAACCCTCTTATACTTTCATTCATCTAAATTATTTTATTTATACCTATCTTGTCTCTTTCAAAAATTTTGGCTAAAAAATATAATAAAATATAATAATAGATTAAAAAGAAATTGTTTTAAATACTTGAAAAACGACTGAGATAGCGTAATTTTTTCTTCCTTTAAAGAAGTGAAAAGATCAACAAAGTGTTCTTTTATATATATATATATATATATATATATATATATATATATATATATATATATATATATATATATGTGTGTATATATGGAAAAGTGTAATATTAACAAGTTTCTAAAGGAACGATTAAAACTTTCTGTTTTCATAAAGCACTTCCACTCGTCTCCTACTTTTTCGCTCCATTTCTCTAATCTCACTGGGGAATATGTCTTCGCGCGAATTAAGTAAATTAGGAAAGCTCAGAAGACAGAAGACAATTTACTTTTCAAAGGCAAAGTTTCGTTTCTCATTTAATTCCTTATGCTAACGGAACTCAGTAATTAATAAAACATCAACTTTCTTACACTGTACTTTGCAGTTGACCCTACCTCTTTGAAACTTTTTAGACGATTTACTCGTAAATCTGGTGGTACTTGATTATGATAATTATAACTTGTATTTTGCAATTTATTTTTATTCTTTTTTGTTGAAAAATTTGTAGAAAAATCTGCAAAGAAAATTATAATAACTCAATATGCCTTTGTAAAGAAGAAAGGCGAGTGTTAAAGTAAGAAGGGTCCAAGCTAAATAAATATTTGATGATAAATTGTAGGACAACACAACATTCTTAGATATTTGATTAAAGTATCCTAGAGGGAAAATAAAATTATCATTGAAGGGGATAAATTATATCTAACTTGAGGAGTTACTTTAATATCTAAAGGGGATAAATGCATCTCTTTAATAAAGGAATACTTTCATGATAATTTCTATAAGGTTTCTACTATCGTCTTTAGTTGAATTTTGAATGATTTTATTGGTTTGTATTTAAATTCTTTTGTATTTTAAGAATTTATTTGTTTACTTGTTGGAAAAATCATTATGCGTTCGATCGTAAAAATAGTGACATCATCATTTTCCTAATTCTAAAATAGAAATTTTCTAAACTACTTTCTTTCCATTCAACATAGATATCAAAAATAAAAGCATCAGAAAGAGATGCGCGCGATTTGTCACGTAACTAAATATATATATAAATGCTCCAATATTTCTTGGTGTTTCAGTTATCGTGAGATGAACAAGTTTTAACGTCAAAAAAGAAACGTACTTCGTCGTGTTAAATTAAATATTTTGTAAGTTTAAACATATATTGAATAACAATTAATTAATCTGTTGTTATTGATTTCGTATACCTAACGATAACTATATAAACACATTTTCATATTTTGAACTTAATCTAAGAATAAATATTAGGCATAATTAAATGTTACAAAAATTTTGATAACAATTCTTCTTCTTTAAACTCGACTTTTATCTAAAAAATTTGTTTCAATAACATTTAAAAAAAAAAAAAAACTATTAATTACCCAAATTGGTATTTGTTTCAAGGTACTATTTAATTTTGAATATAATGTTAATGAGAATGCAAGGCCTGAATTTAAAGGACATTAGAAAGCATCCATCTGTAAGTAAATTTTGTCGTTTGTTTCTCTAATTTTTTTTCTAAAATTTACTTTATATTGTTTTTGTTTATTAAAAATTTGAAAATCTGACAAAAAACATTATAATTACAATTGAGGAAATACATATTTCATTTTCAAACTTTAACAAATAATGAACTTATCAATCCATTCTTATATTATTAAATATTAAAACTGAATCTATTAAAAAGTAAAGTAACATTTTCAATTTATTCATTACAGTTAATTCCCCTCTTCGTAGCATTGGGTTTTGGATGTTCTGTTGCTGTTTTTTGTACTATAAGAGCCTCTCTTAAAAATCCGGACATTACATGGAGTAATAAAAAAAATCCAGAACCTTGGAATGAATACAGTGATAAGGAATATAAAAAGGTATACATATATACCTCTATAGACATCTTATCATTGTTTCTTGTTGATTTTTACTGTTAACGTTTTCCTTAAATTTTTTCTCTTTCAGTTAATTGATGTAAAAAATCATCATTTTAATGCACGAAACTCAACTATTTGGGATTTGGCGAGAAGTTAAAAAATGAAATAAAAAAAAGAAGAAAATTCTTGAAAGTTTTTAAGTTATTTAATTAAATTAATGAATTTTATTGTATTTTTATATTATTAAAATATTTGTAAAGAATTAAAAGTATTTAATTATTGTTGAAATTATATAATTTGAAAAAGGTGGATGTTGTAGATTCATAAGCTCTCAGTACGGGGATTTCCCTTATATTATAATATTTCTATTATTTATTAAATTCTTTATTAAATTTATTAAATTTAAATGTTTATTAAATTCTTATGACACATCGATTCTGAGAAGCAGATGAGTTCAAACACGTGGTTGAATGACCATAAAAATAAATGTTTATGTAATTATCACCTTCATACTATCAATTTCCTAACAAAAGGAATAATGGCTATTGTCCAAATTTAAATGGACATTGTATTTATAATTTTGATTATTCAACAATAATGATAATAATAATTTATCTATTTTCAAACTAAATCAGAGGAATCTTTCTAATAATTATTTTGTTTTTTAGCAACAATTGATTGTCTATCGTTTCGAAAAAATTGATGCTGAAAAAATTAATAATAAATAAAAGAATTATATTTTTAGATTTTAAAATAAACAATTAATCTGACGATATAGTCTTTATTGTTTAATAACAATTATGGATTCTCCTCTTTAAATTGAATAGAATGAAATAAGTTTATAATTATAAATACATAAAAATAAATACAACATACCTTCACTTTGTAATATTTTCACTTGCGAAACTATAAATCATATTGAAAAACTAACTTGAATTTTGAATCTAAAACTAATTAGAAATAAATTATCAATAAATATTACAAAATTTCATCTTACCTAACCAAAATTTAAGTGTTAGTTTCTCCTAATTCTATTTTAACTTTTCTAATCTTACAAAATAATGTAATTCTCAAATTATTTGTTTACGATTCAATCTTTTTTATCTTTTTTGCCCGGAAATACTGATCATGTTGGTAGAAATCGTTAGAAAACTCCTGACAATCTGTAATCCCAAGTTTAAATGACTTGACTTTGTAGAGTTTTATTATACTAAAAATCATCATTAATTAATCGTGATGCTTAAGTTTATAAAACAGAAACAGGTCCATATAGATGACACTTTTCTCCAATTGTTTATATGAACAGTTAACGTAAAATTATACCATCTGTTGAAAGCAAAAATCAGAAACCGTTTCTCATAGACCTAGCAGCAATTAGCAATAAAATTATATCAAAAATTTTTTTATTTGACATATTTTAAAAATTTCAGTTTTAAGGTCTTCTTATTTAGAATTTACAATTCTTCTTGTTGCTGGAATATGTTTAAATTTAAATAATATTGATGATATTCATGAACTACAAATTGATAACCAAATTTTTTCCAAATATCACTTTATAAAAGTTAGAAATAATAAAAATCCTCAGTAATTAGTAGCAAAAGTGTATGTCTTCTTGCAGATATATTCTAACTCAGTAACATGATATCGCAAAAACATTACAAATACAGAAATCAATTAAAACATTTTTTTCTCTTATTAAAAAATTTATTTCATAAAAGACTTGTTAAGGTTTCTTACATTATATTTTTAAATAGATCTACAATAGTGGACATCTAATATTATCGTTGAATTCTGAATTTGTTAATTGAAGTTATATAAATATTAACAAAATTGCAATTCAGAATTTTATTAGTATATTTTACTATAATTTTAAATCGAATAATAAATTACATATTTTTAACAATAATAATTGTTTATCATTTTGTTTATATTTATAAATATAAATGTTTTGAAAATTAATAATTAACTGGTAATAATAATTTTAAGTTTATTTGCAAATGAAATGAATCTCGATAATAAAAAGAATCCACGTGAGCACACTTCAATTATTGACCTAAATAACGGATAGCGTTTAATTTAAACGACGTCATTGTATATGTGTATTTGGTGCTTGACATATGAGACGTCAGCGATTTGTACACACTGTGACCCCCTTTTACGTTCAAATATGAGACTTTTAATAAAAAACACTACGTTTCACCAATGTTTATTCATCAATAATTTGCTTTACTTTCTCATTGTTTCATACAAGAATGATGCACAGCCAATTTTGGTATATTCCCTTTAAACTGTAATTTAATTCCATTTGAATGAACAATTAATTTATTACTGAAACAATGAAAGTTTTTTTTTAAAGTGAAATATTTTAAATACCTACGATGTATTTATATAAGTAATATTTTTATGAATTTTCTATAACATTTTCAAGTGTCTCCTTATATAAGGGGTGGAATTATGGGCGGAAATTCCACGGTTAAGTTGTAATTGATGATTAGTGTTTGCTATTAATATTCTGGTCAGTAATATTATAGCATAATTCGAATCTGTACATACATAATGTAACATAATTAATGTTTAACATATACCTATAATAAACAAAATTTTTTTGATTTAATATTTTATAATTAAATTATTTTAACTTAAAATTTCAAAACATTTTTAGTACATTAGTACTTTAATTATAAATGAGAAATTTTAATAATTTAAAAAACTGTTGTACTAATTACAAAGATTTAATATTAAAATTAAAAGAAAATTTTCTCTTATAATCATGTTGAATCAAATATGCTAACGGTATATTTTTAATTGGACGTGACAACCACTTGATTCAAATTCTTTTATATTTCCTAATCCTTATAAACCTTCCAATACTTTCTTTCATTTACTAAAGAAACATTTGATGTTTCTATAAAAAAGCTCATAAAAGTAGTTTCTTATTTTAGTGATTGCTATTTGCATCTACACTGCGTTGAAATAATTGGAAAAAAGCTCATCATTCCTTTTTTCCTCCTAAGAAATTTATATTAAAAAGATTTATCTTCTTAAATAAAATAAATCCTTCGAAATAAAAATTTTGTTTTATGAAAAAAAATTATTTCGCTTTAAATATAAAACGAAAATGAGAGAAATAATACACAATATTATTTGAAGTACACCCAGAGAAAAATATTATTTAATTTAACTAAAAAAGTTTACATTAAAAAGATTTTTATTTGTTACAAATAAATTTTTTATTTAAAAGAAATAAACTAATATTTATTTTTAAAATATTTCGTCGATTGAGGGCAGAAACACGCCAATTCAGCCGAATGTTGAGAAACATGACAATCTAAAAAATATTAGGGATACCTGCCATTCCAGTGAAGATTTCAAAAACATGCCATCTCAGATGTCAATTTTTTGTTGATTGATTTAGGTTGGTAACACTGTAAACGAAAAATTGATGAGTCAAAATAATTAATATTTTGTTGAATATTGATGGCTAAGTCGGTAGAACCTTTAATAATTTTATTATTAATAATTATACTTTTCTTAATTTTTAATATTGATTTCAAGAATAAAATTTTGTTAACTATAATATAACATTCTCAAGAAAGTGTTACCAACCTAAAACAATCAACAAAAGTTTGACATCTGAGATGGCATGTTTTTGAAATTTTCACTGGAATGGCAGGTTTCCCTAATATTTTTTAGATTGTCATGTTTCTCAACATTCGCCTGAATTGGCATGTTTCTGCCCTCAATCGACGATTTGTACTTATTTTTTACAAATAAATAAAATTATTAGAACTTATTGAAAAGGTTATTATTGGTTTTAAACAAATGGATATTTTCCATGTATTAACTCTTTTTATCAAGACGTGCGTCTAGGATAGTCCATCAGATTAGTAAAAAAAAATCGATGGTTGGAGATATTGAAGCGCGTCAGATTAAGGTAAGGTGGGTTAATTACTAGCTAAAAAATGTATATTTAAAAAATCTGACGATTTGAGCGTAACGTAAGTGAGCGTACTGGAGTACAACACCCATTCCGCACTTGTGCCTCATCTTTCTTCTCACTTTCTCCCTATTTCTGACTCTTTCGCACAATCCCGATTCCTGAAACTGCTGTCTGTCGCTATTACACCATTACAACTGATCACAAAACAGCTGTCAGATTAACAATATTTCTCAAAATAATCGTCAGATTTCGAACTATCATGACTGCAGCATCAAGCTGAACCATCTGTATAAAAATCTGACACGCTCGATTATTTCAAGATGACGATTTTTTTGTATTTTCAAAAATTCGCTACGAGCTTGCGTCACTTCCGAAACGTCAGTCTTTTGAATGGGAGCAATTTTAGGGTTCATTTGACATCCTCCCTAAATATAAAGAAATAAAGATCCCATTTAGCACCATGGGCTCCCCTACTACTGTGAGGCAATAAATCCGTCGAATCTTGACTACGTAATAAGTTGAAAACAAATTTTTATTATTGTTAAATTAATTTAAAACAGTATTTATAATCCTTTAATTATTCCGTTTGGTGTTTTCGGCATGCCCACGGATATTGTGCAGTTTTTGTTTACACGCGGTTTAAACACGAGGAGTTGCGCAAACTTTTCAATACTTTTCAGTTTTTATAAATTAATAAATACATTGAAAAGTAGATTAACTATTGTTTAAAAATTTATTTGCATTTTAACCATGTATTATCTTTTCGGAAAATCTTTTTGTTTATTTCGTCCAAGAACATAAACTCAAAAGTTTCGTGTATATGACAAATTCATGTGAATAGTGTCGTGTATGTAACAATTCCTCTTAGTTTCACAAGAAAATTTTTGTCGTTTAATTATAAGATTATTCGGTTCTGCTAAAGTGATTTTAAATATATGATTTTGTTATTTATCGCATATAGTTTTGTGACGATTATAAACCATATTATAATCCACTGGTACGTCGAAAACATTTATACCGGACACACCAAAATATTCATGTACTTCCATTTAATTCGCGCCTGCGTGCTGCAGGACGTCTTGACATTATTTATTAACATTAAAAATATTAAATAATAATTTTTTATAGTTACATTGATGATACATTCATACCAAAAAACAAAATTCAAGAGATGTTCAATATTTTTAATAGTTATGACGCTAGATTACAATTCACTCATGAAATTAAAATTAATAACTCAATTAATTTTTTAGATGTTCTCATAATTGAAGATAACAATAAGCTTATTATTGACTGGTATAGATTATTATTATTATTACCTTTTCTCAACTTACAATCAATTATGATTCACAACATCCAATTTCTCAAAAAATTGCTATTATTTATAACTTAACTGACAGGCAGCGTTGCCAGATTGGGCGATTTGTCGCAAATTGGGCGACTTGAGGCGCCAAAATGCGACTTGATTTTGGGCTATTGCGACATGTCGCAAATTGGGCGAGTTGTGAAAATTTTTTGCGATTTTTGGGCTACCTGCGATTTTTTGTAAATATTAGTAAAATCAATAAATAAGTATATTTGAAACACTAAAATTTGAATTTTATTTTTTATTAAGAACATAATATAAGTGTTGGACACAGTCAAAGCATTATTTAATCATGACAATTCACACAGGTGGTGTTTTCTCGAGT